AATACGATACCAACAGATTTTTCTAGTTTAATTAAGGGATGTTTAATGATGTAAAGTGGGGTGAATTATACATAAAAATATGTATATTTTTTTTCTAAATTAATTAAAAAATATACTGGTGAATCCAAGAAACACACAGACTTACATATGCGTTACCCCTGAATTTACTTACTTGTTGATGAATTTTATGCATAAACACTGCTTAATTTTAATTAAATACCATTTAATTTAGTTTATTAATTAACTTAATTGTGTTATGAGACATTTTCAAACACGTTCAAGCTGTGTTAAGGAGTAAAATACTTACTTTAGTATCTTATATAACATCTTTATATAGTGTAATTTATAGCACACAGTTAATTTTCACGTAGTAAAATATGTACTTTTATGTGTTACGTAACACCTGAAAGTAATAACAACACGTTGCTTTAAGTCGGTGTGTGGTATTTAAAGTAAAAATAATCTAAAATGGCACTAGAGAAGCCTTGATTACAGTACACGAGATCTTTAATTACAGTAAATCCCCCGAACTCTTACAAACTGTTATAAGGGTTCCCAGTCGGAAGACCACACTTTCCTTAGCTAATGAAGAAAGTCTATTGCTGCAGAACATTTAGGTGTACTTATTAATTATAAATGCTCTATTCCGAAGAGAGAAGTTACGCTTTTACTCCCTTATACTCTTATGAGAAGGGGGTGGTAAGTCTAAGCTATACTCCCTTATACACTTATAAAAGGGGGATAAGTCTATTCTCTTATATACTTATAACATGGGGATAAGTGTAAGCGTTTACTCCCTTATGACTTACGCTTGAATGATGCACAGTTATCATTATTGATCATTTACGTTGCGGCTGTTTTACTTAACTTTCTGCTTTGTAAATTGGCCATTATAATTTCTCAGTAAATATAGGGCCCATGGAAGGTGAAATGGGGGACCGAGACAGTAACAAATAGACTTTTTCATTCATTTTAATGAGCATTTTTACATTTAAAAAACGAAATTTTAGACCCTTATTATTTTAATTTATATCAATTTTACTATTAAACATTTCTATAAGTGTTTCAATAATAAAAATGTTTCAAATTATTATTGGAATCGCGATTTAAATTCCCAATAATATTTGAAAATCATTGAAACAGGAGTTACTGAGAATGGAACAAGCACTGTTCAGATAGAACAAGTATTATTGAGTATAGAACAAAGCCTAAATATACGTATAATCGAATAAATATTATCGTTAATGGAAGAAATATCATTAAGAATAGAAAATTTACTAAAAAAAAGCAATATTTTTCAACGAGAGGCGTCGTATATGTACGATAAAACATCATTAAAACGTCCACAAATAAAACAAAATAAAAGAGAATCTTCCATTATTTAACCCATATCAATAGGAGTCAAAAAACTCAAAGAGAGAGAGAACAGAATGATTAATTATCATCTACGACGAATAAAGCAAACAACAAATGGCACACACATGGACATATGGACGAATTCATTAACCTTTTTTCCCTTTTTTTTTACATTTTACCGAGCAGACAGACAGACGGTTGGGAAAAAAAGGAGGAAAATAATTCGAGTGAATTTTTTTTTTTTTGTAGTAAAGTCATGGAAATTTCTTACATCGATTGATGTTAAGTAATTTTTCCAGGCTGACTCATGACTTAAAGGACAGAAAGAGTTATTCATGCGATGGTGATTATTCAGTGGACCATTAATGGTATTTTCCATTATTCATCTATAATTAACAGGGATGCTTAGGGACGAATGAGGAAGAAAAATGTATAAAAAAATTTATTAAAAATTTAGTTTAAACTTTTGGTTAATTTAAATTAATTCTATTTTAATTAAAAATGTTTCCCTTATAACTTTTTAAAATTATTTATTTGAAAACGTAATGAAAAATTTCGATATTTTATGAATTAAAAGTGTTAAATATTGTATTTATTATTATTATTTTTAAATAAAATATATTTAAAAAAATTTTTGATACAGGGATTAAATTTGGGAAGTGTTATGTGCTGCCATCTGTTGATAACTAAAGTAAATATTTCGATATCTTATTTTTTTTTTTTATAAAGAAAATTCTTGTTAATTTCATTCGCTTTATAATTTTATTAAATGTAAACGTTAAGTAAATTATATAAAAGACATCCTCCAAAATTTTTGTTTAGAATTAGAAACGATAGATAGGTAAATAAAGTCCTCTAGAAAGTAATTTAAATATCACCCAACAGATGGCGACACGTCTTGAGTTTACAACACGTGTGGGATTAAATACAGTACATTTATTTATTTTGTGTGAAAGTCGTACGATTTTTATTATTTCTTTTGGGATTACGTGAAAAATACGATTATTTTTATTAATTCAATGAAAGAAATTACATTTGTTGCATTCTTTCATTGTTAAGTACCGTTGTCACACGTTACAAATCATAAATTATGTAAAACAAAGTGCTAAATTGGCTATAGAATTAAGCGCTCCTACAATAGAATGAGATAAAATTAATGTGTTTTCTGGAAAGTTAATGGGGTTTAAATGTATCTAAATTCATTAAGAATTAAATATTTCAGATTAAACGATGTTCACCTTAATTACATTAATAAATTACATGCTAATCACTAAGAAATTTTATGATCTTATCAGGTTCTTAAATTCTCTTATAATGGTTAGATTTATGAGATTTCTACCTTTCATAAGGAGATTTTTAAGTGGAAATTACGTTTTAATTGATTCTGTGCTGGTGACTTGTTTCTCTTGGTAACTAGGAGCTTCATCTCACTGTATTAATAATGAAAACCATGCCAAGATTTACTTTTCATGCCGTATTATTTTGCTCAAATTTATCAATAAATAAACCCAATTTTATGGTTAAAACTAGTTTTTTCGAGGAAATGTACCTACGAGACTATAGAAAAACGTCCATCTTACAAGGATTCTGGTGCCCACCAATGGCCAAGTAGATAGAACCATTGGAACATTGATCGTGGGTTTTCGCCTGGCCAACGAACTGATCAATTGGGGTTTTATTGGTTTTCTTCACGTTAGTAACACCTAAATAGGGGCCAATTTCACATGAAAATCCTCCAGGGAGCCATCAACCCTCGGCAGATCCCCCACGTGTTGCTTTACCGTAAACAAATAAACCAAACAAGGATTTGGCGACTGTAATGCAACTTATCTGAATTTTGATTGGCTGATTTATATGGTATTATTGTACTTCGGCCATCATTTGAGATTAATTATGTATAGACCTGGCATAAGATATTAGCCAACTTAAAGGAGGAATGGATTTGATTTTGGTTTGATGGAATACAGCAAAGGAGCCACTTCTTAAAACCGCAAGTCTCTCAACCTTGTTTCATTTCTTTAAAAAAAGAAAAAAAGAAAGAAAAAAGAAAAAAGGATTCTCTCTACTCCCAGGCCTTATACAAGCTCTCGATAACTCTGGTTCAAACCTTAACTGTTAAAAAGAGGAGACAAAACTATTAAAGCGCACAAAAGTATAAAATATCTAGAAGCAATTCTGGGCAACAGATAAATAACATAAACGTCCCAAGTTTGTTATCCGGAGTAAAACTCTTTTTTCTCCTTTAATTTAATTTAAAAGAAGAGAATATTTTTTACAATAACAGGGGTGGGACGACTCCGAAGAGACAAATACCTGAAACCAGAGGCTTAAACCGCTTGGCCACCACCCTACGGGCTCCATGCAATCGCACTCCAATTTCGTTCTTCTTAGTCTCGTGCAATAACCAAACATAATATCATGAACTCATTTCCTTTCGTCCAAGTGTTCGACTCCCGAAGATTTTTATGTTTTTGGACTTGGAACCTTGAAACGTTGAAAAATGCCAAAAAAAAGTTAGGATGTTTTTCCTGTGTACGTGTATGTGAGGGGCACGATTTTGTTCACCCTCTTTGAAGCTTAATACAGTCAACCCCCCTATAACGTACGTTCCTATAACGACAATTCCTATAACGTAGCGAAAAAATTGTAGAAACTTTCGTATAACGTACCTCCTATAACGTCGTTTTGGACAAGATTGATAGAGTCTGGACCAATAGTGGATGAGCAGCCGAACTACTTTCCTCCGACCCTGCGCCACGCTACGGAGCGGCTAAATTGAGTTTGCTATCGTCTGTTTAGTATTTTATATAAATTATATATAAATTAGGTACTGTACATATAATTATATATTAATTATATATAAATTAGGTACTGTATATATAATTATATATTAACTTAATTTATTGTAACTTTATTATAATTATATATATGCTTTCTGCCGCCTGGCAACACGCTACGGAGATTTTAGGCTAGTAAGTTGAGTTTATTATCGTCTGTACAGTATGTAAATTAGGTACCGTAAGTCTAATACAGCACTAATTTTATACATTTCTTGTGAAAGAAACACTTCTTATTCAACGTCCATAAAAATTATTTATATTAATGATGTCTCCAAAGGTCAAGTTATTTTTATGCGAAAAATTCGTTATTAGAAATCGCGGCCGTCGTTTAATGTGCTGTTCCGCGATGAAAACCAGCTTTAAGCAACGGCGTAGTCGAACGGTACACACTCGGTAAGTAATCCTATAATTTTTTGTTTATAGCATAGTTTATACAGATTATTCCCAAAAAATTATACGTATTTTGGAAATGTTGAGTCGAATTAGTCTAGAATCGGTTAATTTTATGGAAGAAAACCTTTCGAACAGCCTTAGTCCGTAAAGTTCCCACCTATCGGGCCGCGATTGGCTCATGTATTTAATCGTTCCTACAACGTAATTTTCGGTTAGCGTGGAACGTATCTAAGCGTTATAGGGGGGTCTACTGTAACTCTTGTCGTTTTTTATCGAAAATTTTGAAAATTTTCAGGAGGAATCGATGCTACATAATTAGGGGATCGATGTATTAGGGGAATCGATGCTATTAAATTTTTGGTCATTAAAGGATGAGAAATAATGGGGATCATGTGTATCCTAAATGGACTCATTACAATCGACTCCATTGGAATCCACGATTTCAATAATTAATAAAATAAACAAAAGAGAATTATAAAAAAAATTCATTATAACCAAATAATAGAATTCCGAATTTATAACAATATATTTTACTTTGCAACTGAATTGCTATATTCTGCTATATATACGAGGAGAGGTATCTCGAACGGCATCTAAATATTTAAAGATATAAATATTTTTCAATAGTTTTAAACAAAATGGATGATCTGCCTCGATGTGATGATGATAAAAATGAATCTTCAGAATCATCAACGACGCGTCGTGAAAATGATAAAAGGTGTAAAATTAGAAGAAAACAAAAAGAAGCTGATGATATAATGGAATCGGAAAACTTATGTAGTATTTCTCTTCCTATTTGTCCATCGGAAGATAAAGGTTATTTATATAGTTCAAGAAGCACGGGTGGATCTTTAGACAAAGATTATTCCTCTTCAGAAAAGTCGAGTGTAAGTGATAATGACAGTGTTGAAGAACCTTATAATAAATGTCATGATACTCCTACGGATGATTCTTCTAAGACATTGTCAAAGAAAATAGATATTGAGAAAAATAAACAACCTTCTTCTGATGACGAATCGGAGGATGAAGATAACAGGCGTGAAATTAAAGATACAGATCTTCAGCCTAAAGATAAAAACATTTGCAAATCCGAAGATCGGATTAAAGATACAAGTAATCTTTTGGATAACAAAGATATTAAATCGGATGATCTTATTTGTTTTTCCGATGATGATACAGTAATTCACAAGCAGGTTTCTGTTCCTTCTGGCACGCTAAACGATAGCTATTCACAATGTAAAGAGGAAGAAGAAAATGTGTGCGATGTTTTATCATCACCTAAAGAGGAAAGAAATGAAGTTCCTTGCGATATTTCATCATCCGAGAAGGTAGAAGAGAAAAATTTGTGCGACGTCTCTTTGCCTTTTCAAGAAAAAGAATCATCAATATGTAAAGAAACAGATGAAGAAATTCCATATGATGAAGTACCATGCGAAATTCCATCAACAATTAAGGAAGAAAACGAAGAAGTTCCGTGCGATATGCCGCCATCGGTTAAAAAAGACGATGAAGTATCACACGAAATTCCATCATCGTCGACATCTGTAGAAAAAGAAGAAGCTAGTAAAGAATCTAGTGTACAAGAAAGTCAGCATGACGATCAACATATAGAAGAATCTATAAGTGAAGGATCCCCAGAAGAGGAATTTTTGACAAAAATAATGCTTACTATTAAAACTGGAAGCATAGATAAACCATTAAGTATTTCGCCTTCATCTTCTGTATCGTTTCCAAAGTACATATCAGCTAGTACAAGTAAGAATTCTATTGAATCATTAGCAGAAGTCGAACTAGAACCAGATGAAATTGTTTTCCCATCTAAAGAAAATTACGATAAAATAAGTGTAAATTGGGAAAAATATTACGATTTCGTCCCAGGAACAAATTATTTAAAATTAGTAAAAGATGATCGCAGCATAACCGAAGTGAGTTTCAGTAAGGGAAATTTAAAAACTGAAGAAGGAACAGAATATACATTAAGTGAAACGGATTTACTTAAAAGTGGTTTTCATTCTTTATTCTTTTCTGCTTTTGAAGATAAATCTAAAACGTCTGCCCCAAACGTAACGGAAACATTGAAATCTCTACAAGATTTACCAAGCAATATGGAAGGAGTTGAAAGATGGTTGAAGAAAGAAATCAAATTAATGGGTGAAATTGAAAACAAGAAGAAAAAACTTACAAAAATAGCAAAAGAATTGTTAACGGAAATAAAACATTTAAAAACAATAAATGCAAAATTGAATAAAGATTTTTGTACTTTAGAAGAAGAAATTAACCATCATCCAAACAAACAGGAGGTCTTCGTGTTAAAGAAGAAATGCCAGAATTTAAAGGATCAAATTAACGTGCTGAATTATAAACATGGCAGATTGTTAATTAAGAAAGAGCAGCGATACGAAGCCTTTGAAAATGAATCGCGAGTACATCATAACGATGAAAATACTTTACTTATACGAGTTGAAGAGCTAAAAGAAGAGAACAGAGAACTTTGTAATTTTCTGGAATCTTTCCATGACGATGCAATTAACGTGTATCAGTCTCTTATAAAAAATTTTAATGCTTCCTTACAAGAAATTAGGAATCTCAGTTCGTTGTCAGAGCTTGCAAAAACATATCTCGAGAAAAATTGTAACTCCATGAAAGAGTTGCAAGAATTGGTTGAAGAAAATAATGTTTATTTTAAGAAAATTTACGATAATGTGGATAATATGGAAAAGTACATCGATCATTTCAACTCAACTTTAGATCCTCTAGACGAGAAATCTAATGATATATTAGATTATATTAATAATTTAAACACGGAAATTAAAGAGTTTGTTAAAAATTTTAACGCTGTAAATGATTTTCTGAATCAGAATGAAATTAGAAATTTTCAAGTAAAGGATAAGGTAGGTGAATTGAATACAATGTTTAATTTGTTAAAGGAAGAGAAAAAACATATATTAGACGTAGAGATCCATATTAAAAAATTAGAAAAACTCATAGAGGAGGAGACAAACAAGTGTAAAATTGAAAAAACAAAATTCAAGAATGAATCCGAACAAAAACGTTTGCAAAGAAACTACTTTGACTACAAACTTGCGAAACTCTTCTACTTTCTGGAAGAAATGGAAGAGATGATAGCAGAATTAAAAGCCGACCAGGATGAAGGAGTTAAAATTGATGATGATGAATTAAAATCCGAATCTGCAGATGATGCCGAAGTGCCAGACAAAAAGAAATTTTCGAAAACATTCATACGTAGCGATGCCACTAAGGATGGGGTATATACCACGACTGGTTTGAGTTCTTTTGAAGAGATAAAATATCCACAAAAGATTACGGAAGATATTCCAAAATCTTCGCAAATCTGGAAGACGAAACTATCTTGTGGATATAAAAATCTAACGTCGATACCCGAAGATATTCATGAACAATTGAGTGATGTTTATGGAACATTTAGCGCTAAAGATACTGTTTCAACTCAGTTACAAGATTCGTAATTGTTATTTATTTTTTAAACTAAATTCGCATCATTTCCTATATAATGTCAAAATAATAAAGTATATATTAAATTGCTTGTAAATTAAAATTATTGTCTTATATTGGCTAGTTGGGCATGACCTTCTAGGTTATATCGCCCCGTGGTAGTGTGGCGTAATTGTCATGTAATAGTAGTTGTATGCGTATATGATGGTCGTTACGCGGGGAATAGTGCCTTCCGGGAGGTCTTTTAAGGATAATTGGTCCATATTTAGACATTACAGACGTCGAAAAAACCCGGAAAACCCGTCCGGGTCAGACATGAACACACGACCGAACTCCCAGTGTTAGAGGAATGGAACCGATTGACTATTGGTGGGCCCTAAATTAAAATTATTGCTTTTTTTCTTCTCTCTCTCTCTCTCTCTCTCTCTCTCTCTCACTCTCTCTCAAATATTCATTGTCGGTCGGATGGTGGATCGTTCTGGGGGATCCGAGATCGAATCCGAGAGGTTGAAAAAATAGCAAATTTTTAAAATAAGTTGACCCCCCATAACACTGTTGATAATTCCGTTTTATATGAATTCCATGTTGTACGAGTCACTTAGATTTTACAAATACGTGTGCCGGGCTGTGAACGGCTCACGTATTTGTAAAATCTAAGTGACTCGTACAACATGGAATTCATATAAAACGGAATTATCAACAGTATTATAGGGGGAGGGTCAACTGTAAACAAACCAATGGTGTATTTCGTTTCAAATAAAACGAAGCACATCATTGGCTTGTTCACCCGACTGCTTGCCACCTAAGTTTTCTCTAATCGTTTACTCTAAAAAAATAATAATAATCGACTTTTATTATATAAAAAAATTGAAAACAAATTAATCGCATTTTTTTATTTATTTAATTCAAGAAATTAATATTAAGTAATTAATTACATTTAATAATAAAAAATAATATTTTTCCGTATTAATTTGTATTTTCCTGGAAATAGTGGCGCGAAGGTTGCATTTAACGTTTTTGACGGACTTTATCGTTTGGATTTTGATACGGATGTGAAATTAAATGATGAATTCGAAAGTTTTGATCTTTTGTTGTTTGTTGATTTGTATTGCGATTGCGAGTGGCCTGAAAGACAAAGAGAAACAAAAAGTAATCGTAATTGATGATAATAATTGGAATGACGTTCTCGAAAATGAGTGGATGTTGGAATTGTAAGCCTTTATTATGTTTATAACTTATAATATTTGTGTTTTTCATTGGCTACACCTATACACATTATATTATTCATTTATCATTGTGTTTATTTTATTATACACTTAACATTTTATTTTTTTTTAACATGGTACAATTACTACTCTGAATGAGACGTTTGGGACCCTATCACAGTTGTAGAGCATGCCTATAGGAGCAAAAAAGTCAAAGGAACCGTACCTGTACAAGCAACCCTTCGCAAGATTTTGGTTTCCCAAATCAAGTAGCGACTACGTCGGCTTCGAGTAGCCCACTAGACTGTTTGTGGAATACTACTGATGTTATATTGTTTTGGGGGTGTGAGGTTCGCCCCTACCCAGGCGCTTTGGTGTGAGCAATCTCTCGCACTGAAGCGTGCAACTGCATGCAGAACATCAGTCGAGGCAAGCGATAGCAAGCCTTGATGACGCGGAGCATGGAAAATAGGCAGTACACTGATACGTGTTAAAAACTGACCTTTGGAGGCGAATATCTTGAGAGGGGTCGCATGTACAGGTATGGCTACTTTGATTTTTCTGCTCATACAAGAGGGGTCTACAATTTGGGGGTCGAAAAACCTCTCATTCGGAGTTTGAATCTTGTCCCAAAAAAGTCAAAGGGACAGTCTGTGTGTTACCCTTCGTGAGAGATAATCACATGCAGCCGATTTTGGGGCTGAGAGTTGTACCATGCGTTCTGCTAAGATTATCGCTTCGATCATTGCCCATGATGAATTGATGCCGGTAAGGGTTCCACCTGTGAATTTCGGGGAAGATTTATAAGAGGAATCTAATCTTGAAGTTGCCTTGCTAAAATGACAATCGAGTTGTGATGAGCATCTATCGTGGAGTCCCACAGAAGAGCCACACTCATCAATCAATCTCAGTTGAATGATCCAATTTGTGATTTGGATCTTAAAAAGAAAGGCTCAACTACTTGCATAACATCTCCAGCAGTGGAAACTTTTGGAGAAAGAAGTTAAGGTGTCCTGTTAAAGAAAAAGGGAATCAGGAAATATGAAATTTTTTAAATGGAGGACAATTGCAACAATATTCTGCATTTGTTATAGGATCTAGATCTGCCACAGGATCCTGCAGACTGGAGGCTCTTTATTGACTTATCAAAGTTCAGCCTTAAATAATAAAATTATCTTATTTCTCAAAATTTTTAGAATTTAAAATTCTTAGCTTTGTGTATGTAATTATTGCCATTATTTTCTTATATGAATGAATCTAATGCTTCAGTTAATGATTTACCTTTCTTTACTTTATATTTCATACAGGGTGAGTTGAATTATAAATAAGTTTATGACTACTTCTTTGGATACTGCACTTGTATTAAATAATCAAACCACAATAGAAACCTTAAGAATATATACAAAATTGCAAAATATGTGAATGTATGTTTGGTAATTTCTCTCTTTGCTTCTGTACTTTTTACCCAAGCATCATTTATGTTCTGTTCATTTTGAATCAAAACTGTCATTCATACATCATTTTATCCTGAAGAAGGTCAATAAAAAATGATAAAAAGCATCTTAAGGTTTCTGTTGTGGTGTGGTTATTTAACTTTATGACTTTGTAAAAAATTTATGACATATTAAACTACTATCAAAAGTCTGCAATGGCTACAAGAGTTGGTAAATGCAACAAGTTTATTTAGTTGCCTTTTCATTTTGAAAAAATGCTTGATGTGATCTTTAGCTTTATGGAATGTTTGATCTTAGAAGCATTATTGTATTATGTTAACTGCTTCAAGAAGTTTCTTCAACATCCTGTGAATAATCTATATGCTCTCTGCCTGCAATTCTCTCTGCCTACAAATGGTTTTTGGGTTTAGAACTGAAAAATTTTTCCTTTACATATCTTTGTAGTAAGAAATCTGGTAACATTATGTCCGGAGATCTCAATGACCACTTTCATTTTTTAGGCATATTTAGTTGATGTAAGGAAATTTAAATCTTATGATAGCTATACAAACCATATATTAACTATCTATATCAGGGGTGTCCAACCCGCGGCCCGCGGGCCGCATGCGGCCCAAGGCAAGTTCCAATACGGCCCAATAAATGTGTAAACAAAACCGACAAATGTTTTAATTTTTTATTATTTATTTATTTCAACGGCATAAACTCAGAAAATTAATTTCACAAAGCCATATTTATATTTCAGTTTTGAGTGGAAATGAAATATTTTCATGTACTTGGAGATGTGTGAATGAGGAAGGATTACTAAATAAAGCTGCAGTTGTGACTCAAAGGATTATAGACCCAAATTTGGTGAAAGGAGAGAAAGGACAAAAGATAAAAAGTTGTCAGAAAGGTTAAATAGTTCTTCTGTTAGGCAAATATTGAGTCTTAATTTTCCAACCTTTCTCACTTCTTTATCTTTTGTCCTTTCTCTTCTTTTTCCG